TTATGCAGGGGTCAGACTTGATGATCTATTGAGGTCCCTTCCGACCCTAACATCTATGACTCTATGAATCTATGGAACCAATCTTTGCACAGGGCAAGGGCGGGCTACAGTTGTGCTCTGCCTGCTCTCTGCCTGCTCTGCATCTCCACACAGAGGTGGGGAGCAGGCAGAGTGCAGCTGTAGCCCGCCCTAGCCCCATGCAAAGATTGGGGGTCACCCCCCACCTCTTTGGCTACCCTGTGCCACGGCTCTGGAGGAACCACAGGCTCCAATTGTCCCATGACCCGGCTGGGGCCCTGTTAACCATGAATGGGGCCCCACCCAGTGGCTTGTCCAGGGGCATGGCATGGGGGAGCTGGGGGGAGGGGAATGTGCCCCCCTTCCCCGGCTTCCCCGCAGTATGCATAGCAGCAGGAGCTGCCGACCCACGCCCCTGGATGAGCCTCCAGGGACCCATTGCCCCACGACCCAGCCCAGCCGGGGCCCCATTCCCTGTGAATGGGGCCCCGGCTGGGCCAGGTAATGGTGCAATTCCCACAGTGCAGCAGGGAGTGAGGCAGAGGCAGGGGTGAAGGATTTATCCCTGTCCTACTCTGCTCCCTCCTGCACTGTGGGGGTTTTGGTCTGTCTCGCCCAAGCAATCAAAAGAAACTTATTGCTGTGCTATGCTGGGCCAGCTGTGATCCCGGCATGCCCCTTCCCCCTGCTGCAGCAACCTATGGCCGGGCTGCCCTGGCATTTGGGGGGGGTCTGGGCCCCATTAGCCCCACTGCTTCTGCCGCCTATGCATGTACATACACATGGTCCCAGAGTTGGCCAGGGCTGGGGATGCTGCCCAGCCAGGTGGTACGTGTGGCTTGGGACCAATAGCCATAATGCGTGGCTGCAGGGGTCTAGCAGGGAGAGGGAAGGGCCGTGGGAAGCTTGTCCAGGGGGTGGGGAGCTGAGGCCAGCTTCCCCCACTACACACACTCCCGGGGAAGGGACCCGGGGGGAACCTGTGCCCCAAAGATCTGTGTGTGGGGTGGGGTGGGGTGGGGTGGGCTGTCTGCTTGGGCTCTTGCCCTTCTGCCCTTCCCCAGGGCCTCCACAACCTAGCGGGTACGACCTGGCGCTGCAGGGTAGAGCGGGGCTGTACAAGAAAACTGCTTACCACTGAACTCCACGCTGCCCTGGCAACTCTGCAGCCATGGGCTTGTGCTGTGCGCACAGCAACAGTAAAAGGCATAACCATGCAGTACTCTCTGCCCCTCCCCACCTGGGAGTGTGTGCAGCAGTGGAGAGCCAACCCCTGCCCGAGCCTGCAGCAGGCAGTAGCTGGGCTCCACTCTGCTATAGTAGCCGCCATCTCCTGCCAGGGGCAGGGGGCTGCGGACCCAGGTTCCTGGCCCCATAGCCCTGCCACCTGGGGTCCCTCTCTGGCAGGGCTGGGGGGGAGCAGGAGCTGTGGGTGGGAGGCAAGGAGCACCAGCTGGGCTGGGGGGAGGGGCTGTAGGGGAGGAATGAGGGGCACAAGCAGGGCCATGGGCTATGCAGGGAGTGAGGGGCATGATCAGGGCAAAAGGGCTATGGGAGGGAGTGAGGGGCACCAGCAGCACTGGGACCGGGGGCTTTCATTTTAATAATGGATTTGGGGATTTTTATCAGAGAACTTGTGATTTTTATTAGGGAAAACCAGGACCTCTGGTGTTGAGGCATGCTGAGTGGGGGGCGGCGGTCCCCAGGGGCCTCAATCATGGCATCCAGAATTAGTGACATGGCCCAGGCTGAGTTATCCAGTAGCAGATTTCTGAGCACTTACATGCCCTCCCCCAGCTAATTATTACTGGTATTTCCATTTTGTCTCTTTTTCTCTTTCCAGCACTTTGAGAATGACCCCTGCCCAGCTCCCAAAGTCCCTGGACCGCTGGCACATGGAGTTCCACACTCGTCCAACTGAAGAGCAAGCGAAAACTAGTGGCCCAGAAGTTGTGTCCCCAGCAATCACCCCCTCGGATCACACCCCGTGTAAGCAGAGCAAAGTGCAAGAGACTTCAGCCAGCAAAACAGACCCCGAGACCACCACCCTGCTCATTGGGGATCTGTCAAAAACCCTTGAGGAGTACCAGGAGGTGGAGAAGAAACTCTCTGACCTGGCAAAAGAGGACACCCCTGGACAAAAGCACCTGAGAGAGCAGCTAGTCAAAATCCGAAGGGAACTCTACCACATCCACCAGGCACTAGAGAAAGCCACCAAGCCCCATGAAGGCCCCTTGGACCTCTCAGTGAAAAGATCCTCAGAAGGGCTTGAGAAGGGCCACCAGGCCAAGAAAGATGCCTATAACATTAGTATAGGAGGTGAGAAGCTCCAGAGCAAAGACCAAGGCGCTATCAACAAGTGTGTAGCAGCTGGAGAACCTGGAGATGGGGATGGAATGCCAAGTTGCCTTCTTGAGGCTGAGAACAAAACCATTGATCTGCTGATCAAGATGAGCCGGTCAGAGAACCTCCGGGCATCGTCTACCGAGGCTCATCTGGGTGCCGTTATCAAAGCTGAGGTGCTGCCCCTCAACGTGCCCCTGGAGCTCCGACATGTGATGGAACCCTACTATAGCCGCACCACCAAGTGTGAGGCAGACTCCAGCGTGCTGCTCTGCACAGATGGGCGCTCCAGCACCACCCAAGGCCCTCAGCTCCCTGTGACTGAGGATGGCCCACTGAGCTGCCAGGCCATGCAGCGCTCCCTGTCCTGTGGTCTTCCCAACGACACAGATGCAGTGTGTATCCACAGCCCTTTAAACCCGGACCCATGATCCAACCTGGCACCTGCTCTCAGCACTTGGATTTCTCTAATTACCTTCTTCTTGCTCTCAACCCTGCCAGTCCCATTTCCCCGACAAAGGCTTAGCCACTACCCGACTGTGAGGCCACGTAGCACTGTGCTCTTGTTAACTCCCTGTGACAGAATCCATGAGGTGTAAACAACACTTCCCCTCACCGTCCCTCTTCCCACTGCTAAGGACAGTGCTCGTGGGCTCTGCATGTACACAGTTACAACTCCCTGAGCCCAGGAGCTGCTTCAAAGGGAATGCAAACCAGCAGGCCAGGGAGTCTTTTCAAAGGGCAGGTGCAACTGAGACTGAGCTATCTCCCTGCTTCCTACCAGGGGTTTGCTGACAATGGGAGGGGAGTCTTTATGGCTGACTGTAGAGGCCTGAGGAGACCAACATCTATGACCTGGGGAAGCGAATCTGCAAAGCCTGAGACAGATAAGCTGAGACAGGCTGGGGGCCTGCTGAGCCTACAGGACATGCAGCTGATAATTGTGACTATCATGTCTTATAAAGCAGATCCGGGGAACTGACAGTTGGTTTGGGGTGGCCATCAGGAACAGGCACCCACATTAACCTAGCTGGACACCAATAGTTCCAGCTGCTCCTGATAATAAACACAAGAACAGAAGCAAGAGTATGTCTCTGGCCATAAGTACAAGCTGGATCCTGCAGGAGAGACTTGACAATGGGGCATCTTCTCCCCTTTGACCATAGTTTCAAAAGGGCCCTGCAGCTGGAGGGACATGTCATGCTCCTGTAGAGCAATGGAATAATGGTCTTTCTGAGGACCTGGATGCCCACAGAGCATCTGGACATTTCCTTTGCTTTGCATTTATATCATGTTCCCTTCCCTGTACTTCAGTGTTCAGAGTGAAGGCCCCAGATTCAATCCTTGTCCCCACAGCCAGTCCTATGAACTCCTTTTTGTTTGTCCTAAAATAAATCCTCTCTATGCAGTCCATGAAACCTGATAGTATAGGAAGGCAGAAATCAGTGACATAATCAGTGAGGATGATGAGGGGGCAATGAGAGCTACTTCAGAACCTGTTATCAGGGAGGCAGCTCTTTTTCAAATCATGATTTGAAAGACACTTCAGCTCTCCAACCCTGCTAGACAGTCCACATGGCCTGCTGGTCCCAAGCTGGCACTCCAGGATGCCTTCTGACTTCCTGTCAATCCCTTAGGCAGAAGAGGCCTCCATGAGAAGTTCTGGGTCAACAGGGTTGGAATTGGCTGCCCCACAGGCCAGCAAGCCATTCTGTGATCTTCACTATTGATTATGCATTAGACTGAAGCACTCTGAAACTCCATCTTCTCCCCTTCCTCCCTGTGCATCTCTTGGAGGCCTCCTCCTCCTCTTTGAATGGTAAGATATCAGTCCTTTGATATCCATCCCAGGGGTCTCATGCCACCCAGCTCACTCCTGTTGCTACCCATTTTTCAGTGGCAACAAAGAAAGGATGGATTCAGCACAGGAATCACAGATTGCTTATCTGCAGAGACATGACTATGGTTCAGGAGAATAGCTGTTCACCCTCTCCTCTCCCCTCCTTTGGACAGAAAAATGGAATTTCTAGGACTCCCCTGGCCTTCTGCAGGGGCATCATTAAAACTATTGAATCCTGATTTATGTTCTTCCAAACACACAGGCTGTATTCATCAAGGAACTGAACAGCTGATGTCCCTTTCTCTGCCTCTCCCATCTTTACAGCTACCCAGTCTAGTCCCCTCCATGAAAGAGACAGGGGCATCCATAATCTAGTCCAGAGACCCATTACTGAATTCAATGGATGGGTGGTTCTTTTACTTGGAAGAACAAAAGATGGGGGAAGCTGGTAAAAATACAGCAACCCCAAAAGGAGGAGCAGCAGCCACAGAATAGTGTGAGCCTTGCTGTTCTCTGTGGAAGGAGAATTGAACATGGAGAGTTTTGCTTCAATTAAGTGAAAAAGGAAGGTCTTCAGATGAGACCTGAAACTCCCATGTATTCTGTGGACCTCTGAGGAGGCACAATTTTTTCAGCTGGGGATATCACATAGCACTAAGGATCTGGCGACTGAGTGCATGGGGAGAGAGCACCCACTTGATCTAAAAGGTTTGTTTCTATACAGTCCCACCTGACAAGCGGATGTGGGGAAGGACTTTGGTCAGGGAATGCAGGCTGATGCCATGACCTGCTTATTTTTAAAGTGCTCCGAGACACTTTAATTATCTACACAGTTAGCAGACTTTGCTTCTTGGAAAGGTGACCTAAATACAGAGGTGTCAGTAAATGGAGAACACCCCAACTGCAAAGGACAGTTTCTTCAGCAGCATAGTGCTGCAGCCCTGAGGAGCATGCTGGGGAATAAGGCAGCAAATAATACATATCTCAGTGGTAAGGGTTTGCATTTCCAACTGTACCCCAGGATCCCTGAGACTATGTCAGGGCAATGCACTTTCTTGCTATGAAGACACAACATAAGCCTCAGTCCTTATACTAGTGGCACAGAAACCTTGGTCTTTAAAGCAGGAAGCAAGAGAGGTGGGTCGTGCCTCCATCACTCATTGTTTTGTTTCTGTGCACCAGCAAAATGTTTGCATGTTGTAAAGTCATTGACATACTCACCACTTGTTCTTCTGCCCAGCTAATGCAAGGGGAGACATGACAAATAACAGTTTTCAAAAGGGAAAGATTCCATGTTCCCAAAATGCCTTTCCCTCCCCAAGCTAACCATAGCCTCCTTTTCCCTTTGCACTAATATCAAGACACTCAGAATTATATTGTCCCAGCTGGAGTGTAGCAGACCTTTGGCCTATGGGAGGCACCAGAAGAAAGAGATGGCTCTTGACTTTTATAGATCCCCAGAAGGGGCAACTAAACACATGATTTTCTTCCACTGACTTCAATGGGAACAGAATCACACACCCAGAGTTCAAGCACCCCACCCAAACACTAAACCAGGCCCAGAGCTGGGATCAACACTCAGGAACATCTGGTTTCCAGTTTCACACACAGACCACTAGGCTATACTGCCTTTTAAAGCCCCAAATATACCCAAGTGGATATATTGCTTGAATACGGGGAATCCTTCACCACCCATCTCCTCACTCCCAGCCTTCCACTGAAATGCAGCCACCAGTCACACACCACAGAAATGCCCAAGGTCTCCTTCTTGAAGCGTTGTTGCCCTGTGTATCAGCTATCAACAGCCAATCATTGCAGAGCAATTTATTTTAATGGAAGACAAGTGCTACTGTGGGGAGAGACTGGTACATGGACTGCGTGGCAGATAGAGACTAGTCACGTATTATTTATTGTTCACAATATTAAGAATGTATAAATATTAAAAAATGCCCTTGAAAATGAATGTCTCAATTGCTTTGTTAAGCCTCTCAGGAACCATCTGCAGAGGGACATGTGCAAGCTCACCACTGCCTGTGGCCACTATTTTATTGCATCAGTGATACTTAGGGCCAGAATCTATTCCTATTAGACACCTAAGTGCAATTCTTTTACATCCTGCTCAAGTCCCAGAAAAATCCACTGATGCATTTACTTTTCTAACACATCATCATCTGACCCTTAAGACTAAATTACAAAAAGCAGCAAGGAAGAGAAAGACCCACCCACCTTTTGCATGAACTGTTTTTCAGAGACTTGGGCAGGGTGAAAGAGAGTTGCATTTAGGTGCCAAAATATACCTAGATGGAACAGAATCTCAGTCTTAGCATATATTTAACATTTCTCCAAGGAAGGGTAGGATTTGAACTCTTAATGTGCAGACCACTGCTTCTGAGGTTAAAGGAATAGCTTCAATTGCTATCAGCAGTATCGAGCAGCTTACTCAATAGGAGGACATTTTGCTCATGTTACAGGAGCTTTAACCTTCATAGGGCTTTGCAACTACTGACCAGGCCTCTGAGACCTGGTTCCAAAGCACTGACTGGAGAGGGTTAGCATGCACCTGAACTCCCTGCTTTCTCAGAAGTCTAGCCCTCACCCCACACTGGAAGAGCTTGAGGCCCCACTGGGCTGTGCTAAGGCTGCATGAATGGTGTTTGGTGGCACTCTTGTTTTCAGTCCGTTGCTGCCCTGGCTGAGGGGAATTCCAAGGATATCAGACTGGTAGCAGGCCCAGCCCATATCAGGGATATAGGTATGTTTCCCATTGCTTTGTAGTGACCTTGCTAACCAAGGCGTAAGCTTCACTGTGTGGCTTCAAAGCCCTTCACAGGTGGAAAGATGGTTGCACAGGTTTCTTCTCTCAAGAGCAAGGGTATAACTAATCCACTGGGGAGTTTGTACTATAAGCTCCTCTCTTGTGCTTAGACCATAGGACTTGTCTATGCCACCTGGCTGCCTTGCCTAGGTAGCAAACCCCACCCAGACATTTCCATTACACACACGCTGAACCCCAGAGGAGGAGGAGCCTGGAAGTGGCAGCCAGGCATGTGCTTTAAGGCAAGCATGAAGGCTTTAGGTTGGCTACATTGCTTCATTTTGGAGATTTAGCATGCTCCGAGCAGGGGCAAGTGGGTGCAGCTATCTTCATGCCAGCACACCCAGGCAAGCTGCAGAAGTGGTACAGACAAACCCATTGGGGATACAATGTTGTTATGGAGCTAGAAAGAGTACCATGGCCCTTTAAGTTCATGCTGTGACTTCTGCTTTTTAGCTGCTACAGCTATGGCTCCGGCTGTAGGTGTAGGCTTAGGTTGCTGCAGCTGATGAACTCCCCAGGGCTGCTCCTGGTGCCCTGTTCATTCCCCCTCCCCCCCCAGATACATTTATGGATCCAGGTTTGCACTTCCAGGACAAAGCCTTGAGGGAGTGGGGTGCCATTCCACCGACCTTGCTGTGGAAGGAATGCCATTGCACCGACCTTGCACATCCCCATGCCGCTGTGGGGGCATGGGGATGTGCATACTTGGCTCCTATGGCTGGGCTGCACCTGCTGTGGAAAAGACTCTAGGGTGGAAGGGGCCATACTGGAGACCCCTCTAAGTTGGCATCCAGGGCTGGTGTCTGGCTCACCCTCCCCACTAGTAATCCTACTGGGCTTGGGCCTGCTGCTGCTGTACAGCTTCTTTTACACACTTGCATTTCAGCATGGAAAATATAGCCCCATGCCCTAGTTTTCTAATTCTTCCTCCAGCAGCAGCTCTGTGGCCCTGTAGTGAGCATGTTTGTTATTGCCCTAAAATAGAATAATTTTCTGATAGCATACTGTTAGGTTAACAATAATTTGGATTATTAAAAAATATTAGCTTTACAGCTGAATACAAGGCATGACCTGTGGCCTAACAACGCCGCTGACCACAAGGCAAAATGCTAGCTAAGCCTTTGCTTATGTTAAATAATCATTTTAACTGTTTTAACCATTTTCTGAATAAAATACAACAAGTGGATCTGTGTCTGTGTACTATAAAATCAACTACAGCAAGGAACAAAATAAGACAAGCCATTATTCTAAATACAGTGATCGTGTCCTTAAAAAGTATCTACCACTACAAGTTCTTGCTAACGTATCATAATATTACTGTTACTTAACTTTTAGCTTTTAAAAAGTGCTAGTTCAGCTTAATAAAAATATACTGTTATAAAAATCTATAAAACACCGCCCAAGTATTGCTTTTGTTAACCCTATAGTCTTGCCTTGTTATAAAAAAGTATAAAAGAACACCCCACCCTTTAGGGGGGGCTATTTTGCCTCTTTACTGGCTTTATAGTCATTGCTCGAGCAAATAAACTACAATAAACTTTACCTGTGTTGTCTAGTCCCTATACAGCTAGACAATAAACCCCAAAAAGTTCTATCCCACCACAGCCCTCAGCACAGCCATTGCAGGGACTGTCTCTGAAGCTTGTACAAATCAGTCTGCTAGAGCTGCTTCAGGGAAAGGAAAGAATCTAATTTGTGTCTCAGAGCAAATTTGCAGGGCTGGTCATTAAAAAACCTCACCCTTGAAGCAGATTTACATTCAGCCAGGCCTGAAGACAGGGCTCTTTGTTGCCATGTTCCTTTGCCTGCTGAGGGATCTAGGTCCATCCACCTGCAAGAATTCACCTATGCTTACAAGAGTGGCTTGCACTGGTCCTAAAACCTTGCAGGTAATGTTCCTGACAGGTGTTTACTATGTGGGTTCCTTCCAGCTCCTGTTATTAACATCACCTGACCGGTCAGCTGGGCATTCTCTCCATTGTTCCAAGCTGTTGAGTATCAGGGTGGGTCACAGGGAGCTGAGGTGAAACGCTTAGAACTGCAAACTGATCCATGTATTAGCACAGTGGGGGACAACATTTTTGGCAGGCATGCCCCACAAGTTAAGCCTCATGCCCTTTCAAGTGCCACTCCAATCCCCTCCATTTACCCAATCTGCTGCTCCCTGCTATCTCTGCTGCTGTTTTGCCTACCAGCTCCCCAATCTGCTACATGCCACACAAAGGCTGCCCATGGCACTTGTGATCCTCATGCCCAAGTTGGTCACCCCTCACCTAGACAATAATAAAGAATCATAGCTATCTCTCATCTAGCGTTTTATCACCAGGTTTCAAAACACATCACATGGAAAGTCAGAATCATTACCCTGTCTGACGTGGAGAGACTGAAGCATAGAGAAGGGCCATGGCTTGTCTAGGGATGCTGTGGTAGGGTGCTCTTCCACTTTAGGGGCCTGGGGCTGGCCAGGCATGTTCAAGTTTCAGATCAAGCTGTAGAGAAAAGGCCAGGTGATTCCTATAAAGTGTGCAGAACTCAGCTGGGAGATGGCTATAGGGAAGACATAGGGGTTAGCATTGGTCTTAAAGCAAGAGGATTAGGAGCAGTGGTCTAGGGTGGATGGAGTGACAGTTTAGTTTGGTGTAGTCTATATTTAATATTAAAGACTTAACACTATTAAGAGTGAGCGTCTGGGTGTGGCAGTGAGTCCTTCCAGGGCTGGAGAAACAGGCCAGCTGTCTAATACAAACTATTTTATACATATATGTACACAGTAGCTTCACACACCATTGAAATGCAGTCACTTCTGCACCTGAGCAAAGTAGTTACTTAACAGTGAGTGCATCTACACATGCATTAATGGTTTTTTTCCTAATGTGAATTAAATGTAGTACCTCTGGGCATCTATACATTTGCTTTGGGGTGGAGGCAGGGGCACTTTAATTAGAGTGGCTCTGAGAGCCACTCTAATTAAAGTGCCTGCAGTATCAAATGTATTCGGCATCCCATGCTTCAAAATGGTGGGGGGAGGGCACTAACTAAAGCTGTTTGACAAGTTTAAGTTAAAGCACCCCTGCTGCCATTTTGAAACTCAAGGACACTGATTACACGTGTGACGGGCTAGCTGGCAGTGACTTAGCTCAGGGGTTTTGAAAGGGTAAAAGATGATTGGAGGACTTAGAATTCCTTTTCCTCACCAATCAGGCCCTGGAGTCTCACCCTCCATGTCCCCTGATTGGCCCCTTGGGTCACCTGGAGGGGGATAAAGGGGCAGTGTGGCTGACTCAGAAGAGACTAGCATGGGACCATAAGGAAGGAGTCTTAAAGAGCTGGCAAGAGCTGGGTAGGAGCAGATTGCCCTAGAAGACCTGAAGGAGTGGACCCTGTAGTCAGCAGCCAGACCCTCAGCAGTGTGGCCGGCAAGAGAGGCTTCCCGCTAGGCTCCAGGATCCCCTAGGAGAGGCTGTGGCCAGCAGGAGAGGTTCCCCAGCTCCAGCAAGAATCTGAGCTGTGACCTGAGAGGTTCCCAGCTCTGCTTCCAGCTCCTCCAGCAAGAGGCCAGAAAGTTTGACGTGTGGCCGGGGCTCCTGGAAGGTCAAGACCCCTAGTAGCTTGCTACAGTACCAGCACTGGTGGCTGTGTGGTACAGTTTCTGCCTACCATGTGGGAGATCTGTGTTTCAGTCCCAGCTGGGGTAAGTGAAGTAACAGGGAGACATTCTTGTTGCAGTGGAAAGGGGCTATTGTGTTTTCCCCCTTTCTCCCCCTCCAGGTACCTAGGCCCTATATTCCTTGTTATTTGATATCTTGTATTTTTGCCTTTTATATTTCACCAACCAGTATTGTTTGTTCTGCTGTTTGTGTTTTTAATATTTTGGTTAACCCTGTCTCTTGTCAACTGGATGAATATGTCCTATGATTGTAAGTGTCTAACCTTTGTTGAATCCTGCTCCCTCAGGGCATTGTAGTGTCCCCTGTACCCCCTGGTTTATACTGGTTATGTTCCCAGTACTGTTCTCTTATTAAAAAGTATATGGTTAAGTCCCCATTGGTGGTCTGGCTCTGCTCTATAGGGAAAGGAGAGTCCCTACACCTCCCACAGCACTTGTGCACCTGCTTTGATCCCTTCAATTGG